TCTCGATGCCTGCACCACGAAAATGAGGACCCAGATGATAGTAGGTTTTTTATTTTTAGCCTCGATCCTAGCAATTCGGCAGCATCTTTTGAAAGACCTAAGTCTCTTACTAGGCTGTTGAGCTCACTCTTAGAAAAAAGTTGAGGTCCTTTGTCAACAGATAAATCTGAGCTAGATTCATCCTGGGAAGCTAATGTGTCTGAATCTTTTGACTCACTCAGGATGTCATCCATTAGAAGGTGACTGTGAAACTGGTATTTCATAACTATGGGACACTGGACGAATAGCTGAGTCGAGGTTATGGTAAAATATATATTTTTAATTTTTTGTATTAAATTCTTTAACATCTACCGAACAGAAGTAGCAGTCGGTTGTGTGATTTTTCTGTTCACGCCATATCATAGGAATGAGGTTTTCTTACCCTTAAACCACAAACGAAGATCTTCCTCGCATCTTCTGCACATCTTATGTGGAGCCCATGCTTTGTCTTGATCTCCAAGTTTCAATTTGAAATATGCAAAATAATAGCCTCATCAGTGGACACTGACGATACTAATAAATGAAATATATTTGGAAAGAAAATAAAGTGAGAAATAGTAAATAACTTTCTACTCCATCTCTGTTTTTAATTCTATCGAAATCGGATTTAAAAGAGTGAATTTCACTTGTATTTCTTAAAGAATAATTTTTTGGAATTTATTAGTTTTAATATTAGTAGCTCATTTCGAAAATATTTCATTTCCATAAAGTCTTAGTTTATTTCTGATAACTTTAATATTTGGCGAGTAACCAGCATTAATGCGTATGTTTGAATTTCTCAATTTACTAATATTTTATATATTTTTTCGATTTAAACATAAAGTTAAACAATTCACAAATAACTAGTCTTTTTGAATAAGGTTTAAATATCGCAATTCGATAAGTATGGTTGATATTCATATCCGTAACCTAAAGGTTATCACTAAATAATTTTAAAACCTTGCATAGAAAATCATTTATTTTTCGTCATTCTCTAAACTTGAAATTACGAAGTTATTTCTTTTTTTTATTGTTTTGTTTCATAAACTTTTCATGTAAATAATTACATACTGCATTTATTTTTGTTTGATTTGTTAATTCTAACTTTACATTTCCCTTTATCACTTTTGAGTAAAGTGAGTCCAGATTCAAGATCTACAATAGCAGTGCCTATATTTTGAATCCAGACATGAATTTAGTGGCGTAGCTGGGTGGGGGAAGGGTTGGCCCGCCCCGTCCGTGGAAAAAAAAATAAAAACTTAAAGAAATTATCAGAATGTTTTTGAACGTTAAATCACTTAAGCTTGAAACCATTTTAACAAAGATATCTATATTAAATAATTTAATTTTACAAAATGTCTTGCGAATCTTATGGTTGCACTAAATTTATTTCTGACAATTTCCTTATCAGTTGCTTCGTGTGAGAGGAGTTTCAGCAAACTAAAATAAATTAAAAATTATTTGCGGGCAACAATGACCCAAATCAGACCTAACAATCTTGGCATATTAACAATAGAACATGAGTCAACACAATATAAATTTTGAAGATATAATTTCCGAGTTTGCCGTTGTTAAAGCTAGAAAAAAGAGCTTTTAAATGTTTGTACATAATATGTATACGACAGTATATTAATTATACTCTCATTCTTCTTTTGCCATAGCCAACTTTCACTTTCCTACATAAATGTGAAAGAATGATTAATAAACTGTACTATTATCATCATAATATTGTAACTTGATAATTAATTGATCTTATTTGTATTAATTAAATAAAATCATACTTTACGTTTATTGGATTTTTATTAATTTTAACAGTTTTTATTCTTTGGGGTGACACCACGATATCTGTACCGGGTGTCACCCATTCTAGCTATGCCATTGCCTGCATTCTATCTAATTGTTCTAAAAGTACTTGTAATATATCATTTGAAGAGGCTTACAGATTTAACATAACTTTAATTTTTTTTCCTGAACGTTAAGCTCTTTTTCGGCATTTATATAAGACAAGATCAATTTTTCCGTTGACTCACCTGTAACATTTTCCTGGCATCCAGTTCGTTTCTGAAGACCTGACAATAAAATATTAAAACTTACAGTATTTTTGTAAGTTTTAATATTTTGTTGCCAGCTCTTTTAAAATCAACGTAATTTTATTAAATATTTGTAAATATACATTTCTAGAACATCATTGTAGTAAAACTGCTGAAGAGGGGCCAATTTGTCCGAAACACGTATTATTATGTGTACAGGAAAAGCTACTACAGGTGAAAATATAAAGATTTTTTGATTTTCTGATTAAAAGCTCCTCCTTGTGTTAATAGCCAATACACCTGTGTAATAGACCTGTTAATCCGGCAAGTCCATGTTGACAATTTTAGAATAAACTAGGTGTTAAAAACATTAAGGCAAGTAAATATACATAAGCATATTCTTTTAAATACATGCATCTAGTCAGACATAGACTCAACTGCAAAAAGTGTGGTCTGCTGTTACTTTTATGTAGGTTTATTTTCAGTTAATGTTTAACCATCCCTAAAGTAGATCATCTAAGAAAGGATATATAAAGAAAGGGAAGGGTGCAAAAGTAGGTATACAGTTGAGAATCGGAAAAATACAATTGTTTGATGTTTGTTATTATTGTTTTTATCCGTTATTAGTTTTTATTCCTTATTTGTAATTTAATTTGTTCGTAAAAGTAAATGTTGATTTTTCTGTGTTTCTCCCTGCATGCTTTTTTCATAACAACAACTGCACACCTAATTTTGCACTTCTCGTATTATAACCTTCGTTATTATCCACAAGTTAGTGATTGTAAGTATTAAGTATTGAATGGTTGGCAGATCATTTTTAGAAGTTATGACTGAGTCACCCCGTGGTGCGCTAACTTTTTACACAAAATAAAAGTATGTTTAGATATGATACTGAGCCTATATTTCAAAAAGGCACAGAACTTCGTGCTTTATATTATCAATTTTCTTCGTTAATTTTGTTCGATAAATTTGTTTTCGAAGAATTTCTTCATATTTGAATATCATTTTTTGTGGATTGATTTTTTTTTCAATTTTATGTCAGGTGTTGAAATTCCGTTTTATTGTTTCCATCATTTATCGTTTAATAAATTACAAAACTTCGATATCTACAACAAAATATCTGGATAACTACATACAATGTAAGAATACATTCACATAAAGTTAGCAACAGATCACTCCTCAATTTATAAAATAAACTCAAAATTTTCATTTACAGCTCTGTTTTGTATTACTTCATTTTTTATAATCTGATTCTTTACTTACTTGTTTTCGCTGTTTGGCATCGATTTTTATTATTCTAACACTTGTCATAACCTGCATGTCGAGATTCTTTTACTCATGTACAAAATATAAGAATCGAAAGTATAAGGTAATATAAAGTAATTAATCACAGCAAACAGAGGAAACGCTTTTGTTTCTACCTTTTGCTCAAAGCATTTGCTTTAACTTTTGTCCTATGCTTATTTGCATTTTCTTCGTTTTCATTCATGTGGGCCATTATAAAATATATTATTATTGTAAACATATATTTATTTGATATTGGCATTTTGTCCCTTGCATAATATGGACATTGCTGAAATAAGCTACTCCTATGAATTCTCCTGTAAATCATTATTCTGAGGATGATTGTATGATGCCAGCATATTTTCTTTCCAGGGAGTCAAGTGCCCAGTATAAAATATGTACTGTATCAGATTTAAAAGAAAAGTTAGAAAAATAATAACTTTTTTTAAATTTCATAAATTAATTCTTAAAAACGTTCAGATGTATCATGCAATGAATGGAGAACTAAATGTTAAAAACAATATTTATATGAAGAGAATGATACCATCTATTTATTATAACTTAACTCACTTTTATCCAAAAAGAGAGTCTTTGTTTACAATGTCATAAAACAATTAGCAGTTTATTAACATTACCAGCAGGTGTACAGCGGGATCAACATATTTTCGGCTAGAAACATAATTAATATTTTTGACATTGACCTTGACATGTCACAAGTCTCTTTAATCACAAACAATTACCGTATTACAGGGTAAATCTAAAAACATTGTATAGCAGGTTAAAAGTTGATATGTATGTTATTATTTTTAGATGAATGTATAGAAAATAAATACAGATAAGGCATGTTCATCAGTTCATGAATACTTTAATAAATATAATTGAATGGTGAATATATTTTTTTGCTTTCAATAATCTTACTAATGTATAATAAATTACTTCAATCTGTGAGACTCAATGTGACTATTACGTTCATCGAAAGGAATAAACTTAAGCAGATATACGCTACGCTATATATTCATAAATTTTCTTTTTTCATTCACTTCTTTGGATGTATAATGTCTAAGAACATCGAAGTTTGCAGGAAAATGGGAGGGTGACATTTCACACAATTTCATTATTTTCTTACGTTTTACAAAGTAAATGAAAATGTACAAACCAAATTTTATTTTCATGCATTCAATATCCACATTCTCTCATATTACGTATTTATTATTATTTAGGATCACACTTTTATAAAAATAAACTTGTAGATCAACAATAAAAATAGTTATTGAACTTATTGGTACAAACTTATTTTACAGACAGCATGATTATAAATCAGTGTTAAATAAATCTGCTAAGCTAGTTCAAAAAGCACTTGGTTATCAGTGAATATCCGCAGGAACTGTAGGCTTTGACACACTAAAACGAACACTAAAACAAAATTGTTTACTTCACTTCTTCCATAATTATTTTGCACCAACAGACACACTTCTACAACAAATGATTTAAAAATCTTACTAAATGTTCACAAAATGTTCAATAAGCAAAAAAGTAAATTAAGTAACTGGAATAAAAGAAAATAGTAACTATCATAAAATTAATTAATAAACATTTAGGAAGTAATTTTATATAGGCCTCTTTTTCCAAGACTAAATATTTAAATTTAAAACAACTCTATAATAATAGATTACAAGCAGCTATATTGGGAGATAAAAGATTGAACCTGTTGAACGAGATGATTGCTGATATGAGATTAATTAAAATGTGCACCTGGGAATTGCCATATGCCGCATTAGTTGAGAAAATCAGAGAGTAAGTAGCAATAAATACAGTAAAATCTGTGTAAAACAGTACACGAATCTAACAAAAACCTGTCTAAACTTAATTTTGCTTAAGACAAAACATTTTTCAATGTTAAATAAACTGATGAAGATAAAAAAATCATCAATTCAATAGAAAAAATATTGGTGTCATTCTGGTTTACACAGACTTTACTGTATTTTTACCATTGCTATTTTGTTTTAATAATTACAGTACTTTCAAATTTCTAAGTCGATTTATTGAACTTGCAGGAAAGAAGTGAAAAAAGTTCGATATTTTTCATATGCCAGAGGAATATGCGCAACAATGTCATATCCTATATCAAAATTATACACTTCTCTCACATATCTTGCGTTTTTTTTTAATGGAGGTCAATTAAATGCCCAAATTGTATTTATCACTATGACTGTTTCCATGTATATATTACTTAGCACTACCACTATATTTTCACAAGCATTAAATTTTGCTGCAGAAGTTTTGGTTTCGTTGAAGAGAATTCAGGTAATGAACTATTTCAAAAATTATTGATTTGAAAATTTATTACAACAATATTTAATTTAAAAATTACTCGAATTTATTAATATTTAATTAAAAAATTAAATATAATTTATAACAATTTTTACGAATTCATTTTTTTCATCCTTTGTTTGTTTTGTCATGGACAAAAAATTACTTTTTTTGTTATTACTGTATACTCATCGTGAGTTTTGCTATACCCGTGTTCGGGATGAACAACTGGATACAGGCAAGGCTTTACATTTCAGAATATCCTTTCTAAACTTTCTGTCGTTTTCTAACCTGACTGAATTTTGGGTTTTTTAGGGCTTTAAACTGTTCAAGGCAAAATAGTTATTTTGCCTTGAACAGATGTAGTGTTGAGCTTTTAAGATACAGGTGTAGTGTAATTTTAATCGAAAGATTTTATGGTTCAGATGCCACACATTGAATTAATTATTTTCAAAAAGTAAAAGAATCGATTCTCTGTAATTAACCCCATTTTTTCTGTGGGCTTGCTTAAAGTCCAAGGTTTATATTGGTGGTGTACCAAACTTGATGACAACATATCTCGAACAGTGATGAACATTCCTGTGGACATGTTACGTTCAGCCGTAGAGAACACGGTGTTTAGGATGCAATGTGTTATCCAGCAGGACAATGGTCACAATGAAGGAGGAAGAAGATTATTTTCTGATTAATTAAACTTTCATTGTTGCATTAAAATCTCTGTCTGATTATTCATTCGTGTGTTTGTTAATTGCAGCTGGGTTTTATGCAAATTCTTAGCTGTTTCGCTACAACAGAGCCAAATCCACCCGTACCGTCGAATTTAGGTACTACTTTTTTCCTTCGCGGAATCCCTTTTCCATGTAGTCCTTAGTCACTATTTCAAATTTGGCAACAGTCCGAATGTTAGATTCCTCTACAGATGTCTCTGAGTACCGTCAGTTTAAAATAACACCCTGCATTTTAATGAGTGATTCAATATCATGGCTTCGTAAACAGACATTCCATACAACTTCTGTTTTCCTGGGCAGATTAGCACCTATATTAATAAATCACTGTTTCTGACATAATACAAACTAATGCAATGTAAAATAATATATAAATTTTCATCTGCCACCAGAAGAAGTTTTAAATTCAATTAGTCTTACGACGCTCTTTATGAGATATAAAATAAAACGATATGGACAACTTCATCCTGATGTCAAAAACTACCATTTTGCCTAATTTTTTTAAAACATGAGGTCTTAGATGTGATACATTAAGTAAGATTTTTCGTATTTTAATTCAGGATTTTCTCCTACTTCAAGAAAAAGAAGAGAAAACTCTCAAAGTTGTAGAAGAGAACGAAAATTTAACTGAATATGGAATATGGATGAATGATGTCACAGCTACATGGAAAAAAGTAAGACATAATTTAAATTCAATTAGTATCGGTTCTAAATTGAAAGACAGCTGTTTTAGTTTATATAATTATACTAGTTTTTAATTGCTTCATTACTACATCATTGTTTGTTATATAGAGTATAGAAGAGTATAAAAAATTTAAAGTGAAAGTGATCTCACTGCAACTGAATTTAAGGAAACATTTTACTCATAACGTCATATGCAAAGCATATCTTTCAAAATAACAGTTCAGATCAGTAAAAACGCATAAAATCATAAGATTTTTTTCGTGCCTTTTTCTCAAGAAAACGCAACATAACAAGCAAAGATGATAAAAATCTCGTTGTATAAACTATGCGCATCAGTACATTTGAATGGAACAGAAATTGCTCCAAGCTAGAGCAAAGAATATAAAAATGATATTTTTGTAAAGATAAATATTTTTTAAATTGGTCCTATATCGAACAACTAATCAAGCTAATTACATGCAAAGCTCGCAATTACCTAGTTTATGTAATTTTCCTAATGAGAGGATACACGAATAGGAAGATGACATCTGTGGAAGTCCAGAACTTTTCAGCTTACAGACAAGTCACTTAGTGCAAAGCTTATCAACTAAACCTTTGTGAGTGAAAAACTGGTACAAAGTTAATTATTTCAAACTTTTCAGTCTTAAAAAATCGATGCTAAAAAAGTGTTGCAATGGAGTCTTTCAGATTTCATGCACCAACAAGACATTCTGTATTTTTATCCGACAATGCTCGATTATTGACTGCATTTTTATCTCTATCTTTAACTTCATTTACTCCGGATACCGACAGAGCATAATCAGGTTATATACAGAGATATATCAAAGCACGTGCTTTGTTATTATGTATGTATTATACATAATAACAGAGAGATAACATGCAAACAGTATGACAATACAGAAAAAGTATGAACAGATGGTGAGATGACCGATACGAATCAACAGATATGATACATAACTTAAGAGTAGAATAACATGTACAGTAGTATAAAATAGACAATACTAACAGTAATAATAAACATTACACAGATATATGTTGTAGCAGAACAAATGTACAATAATGTGCAGGGAGCAAATGAAGATAGTGCCCGATAACAGACTTTACCAACTTAATAAATGACGGAGCATATGTTATACTTATGAATCAATTTTTAGAATGATTTGTAAGTGTCACTGTCCTTTAAGAAGGACATGAAGTTTACAAGACCAATTAATACCCCTGTGGCTAAGAGCAAGGGCAAGTTCATGCCTAGCATCCTCGGTCATTGGACGCATGTATACAAGCGTCCAATGACCGAGCTGAGTGCTCAATCCCATCATGGCAATTACATGAGTGCTCAATCCAATCACGGCAATTCCAGATGGTACAGATGTCCGTTGCAGATTTACCAAACCTCTGTAAGTAGGCCTGGAATCTCCCTTGCCCAGTGAAGAATAGGGTGGTTTCAAAGTCTGGACTAACCCAGTGGTAAAAAAGGTGGTCATGAGTAGATGAAAAAACAGTTCCTGGCAAAGCCATTGTAGCTATCCTATCTCTGCTGCCAGAGATTCAAGCTGTAGTTCCAACGTTGGAGCTTGAGAAAAAAAGCAGATAGCACTGAATACTTGAAAGGGCCAGAAGCAGTTGCGGAGCAAGACCTTCATTTGACGTGGGCAAGGTACTTTTCGCGAGGCCCTCTGGTGGCGCAAGAAGACTGATTCTATAAAATAAAAAGCAGTTGAAACTGTCAAATTTTTATTCATAAAAATGCAAATTATATTCTTTGACTAACACTAAAAAAATAAAAATAAAAAAAATTAAAGAAACAGAAATTTCTTGCTTTTAGCCTTACTTAACTCCTTAAATAATAACGGCCGGATGGCCGAGCGGTAAAGGTGGCAGCCTACCGCTTTGGGGTACCTGGGCTCGAATCCGAACGGGTCGAAAAATCCCCAGGAATTTTTCGGGGGTGGTCCGTTCGGATATGTCGGGCCCCATCTTTCACCACCCTGCAGCCCCATTATGGGCCTGGCCTAACCCATAATGAGCTTGCAAAAAGAGGCCNCAGAAATTTCTTGCTTTTAGCCTTACTTAACTCCTTAAATAATAACGGCCGGATGGCCGAGCGGTAAAGGTGGCAGCCTACCGCTTTGGGGGACCCGGGCTCGAATCCGAACGGGTCGAAAAATCCCCAGGAATTTTTCGGGGGTGGTCCGTTCGGATATGTCGGGCCCCATCCCTCACCACCCGGCAGACCCATTATGGGCCTGGCCTAACCCATAATGAGCTTGCAAAAAGAGGCCCTCTTAGTGCCCACAAGGTGGAAAGAGTTAAAAAAACTCCTTAATAATTGTATCGTAATTTAGCTTAGATATGCTTCAATAGATAAAACTGCCAAAGCTGAAAGTCTTTCCAGGCCCATTGTATTTCTTAAATAATTCTTTATTAGTTTTAATTTTGAAAAGCTTCTTACAGCGTAGGCAGTACTTACCGGTATTGTTAACAAAATTCGAATGACAATGGAAATATTTGGGTAAATTTCTTTCAAGTTATTTTCTGTTATGTATTGGAGCAGCTGTTTCACACTTTTAATGAAGTTGGGTAAATTTGGGATCATTGTTTGTAATTCTTCATATAATTCGAAAGGTTAAAAGTCACTGCTCTCACCCACTCGCAGGACTGAGCATAAATCTTGAGTTTTTAAATACAGTAGAGCGTCGATTTTCCGAAAGTCAATCATCCGAAAGAATTCCAGTCGGCAAATTTAAATTTTCGCCAGTGCTGTGGCACTTCAATGTTTGTCTATGTCTTGGGCTACTCAAAAATTTTACGTTTTTCATACTAAATTAACATCTGAAGTATAATTTTTTATTGTTTTTATATTTTTCAATATATTTATTTTGTTTGTAAAGAATAAAAAAATAATTTTTTACGATACAATAGTCTTTGTTAGGCTTAACATCGACGAAAATTCAACGCGAACCGACACGCAACGGACAAAAATTTCAACATAGGATACGTTAAACTATTTTTTCGTACATAAATCGGTTATCCGAAATATCAGTTATACGAACAACCCCAGTCCCCAATTGATTCGGAAAATCGACGCTCTACTGTATTTGCTCTTTTGGAATATTTTTTAACTCTCGCTTAGATCACAGAGAAAACCAAAATTTTCAAAATGTCGATTTAAAGACATAAATCTCGAATCCATATTGCTTAATATAGAACCAATCGTGGTGTTAAATAAGTCTATTAAGTTACCAGAATTCCTAGTGCCGTCGTCTGTCTTGAGAGATTCTCTGTGACCTCTTAATGCCAGATTATGAGAGAATAAGAAATTAATGATAGCAATTAATCTCTCAAACAAATTGTGCTAATGTTTTTGAGATTCACGAATTAGCCTTTCGTTTTCTTGGTCTCTTATGCCAATATATTTATCGTTTTATGACGAGTAAAATTTTTCGTTGCGTTCACAGCTTTTTTAAGTAATGCGTAAACCTTCGAGGCGCGAGGCCCCTCGGAATGCGAGGCCGTAGGCGGTGGCCCACGTCGCCCACGCCTTACGCCGCCTCTGGACAAAAGTACTGATTGTTGCAGCCTCCCTGGCAAGTAGGTCTGCACGTTCATTACCTAGGACACCCTGATGACCTCTCACCCATTTGAGGGAATAGGAGTTCTGAGCTCAAGGTATATGGTTTAGAATCTTTCTAACCAGAGGGTGAAGATTGTTGGGATTCGTAAGGTTATTCACTGCTGAAGCACTATCAGTGCAAATTGTAACTCTACTTCCAGTAATATTGGCTTCACACCATCACACCATTGAAAAGCCATGCAAATGGCACAGAGTTCTGCCTGTAATATAGAGCAGTTAGGATGAAGAGTGCCAGAATTCTGATATATTTCCTCCTCATTGGCAAAAATGACGAAGGCCGAGCCCGTGCCCGTGCATTCTTTGATCCACCTGTGAAGATTGTATAATCAGCAGCAACTGTAAAGGATGTGTCAAACCCACATCTCACTTCTGGATGAGGGAGGTTGGTAAACGGTATATCTGTCTCATAGGTGCCTTCATCATAGGAGGTAGACTTCATAATGATGTCGTGGCTTTCCTAATATGATAAGTACAAGCAATGTGCCTCAAATGAAGATCCAGAGGTGTTCTCCTACTGATGACCTGAAGAGAATAATTCGAGGAAGTAGAATACACTCTTGTGAGCCTGAGAAGGGCCCTACGCTGAGCAGATTGAAGAGGGCGGTAGTTGTGACTGAGAAAGACACTGCTTTCCCAGACAGCCACAGCATATGAGATAATGGAAATGAAGACCGCATTGTAAATACAGTTTGAGGCAGCATAATTAAGCCCCCGGTGATTTTTTAGCAATCCTTTGTAAGTTATTAAATATAAGAGTGGTTTTATCAGTAATGTGGTAGATTTGGAGATTCCAAGACAGTTTATGCTCCAAGACAACACCAAAAAACCTCAAGTAAGAGACAAACATAGCATACCTTTAATATACATTAACAAATAACGCCACACTAATTTTAAAGTTTAGAAAATATCAGCTTTATTATTAAATAATATGGTATTTACGTTATGATAAATTAATTTATGATATGTTATTTTTAATTTATGACGTATACGATTACTATTTTACAATATAGTTACTTTATCTGTTTAATTTTTTAAAAGGAAACCCACCCAACACTGAATAATATAACTGTAAACGTACAACCCGGAGAATTATTAACTGTTATAGGTCCTGTTGGATCAGGAAAGGTGAATATCTTATTAAATAGTTGTTATATATTTTATAGGCTTTTTGATATAAAGATTGTTTATAAATAATTAATATTTTAAAAATTTAACCATTTATCCATTAGTATTTAAATTCGTTTTATTAAATTATTACAGGTAACTCCCGTATAACACGGTAGTTACGTTCCAAAAAATTGCCGTGTTATGCGAAACAAAGAACTAGTACGAAAAAAAGGGTTAGATTTCAAAAATTAAAAAACATGCTACTATATTTTCATAATTGAGATAAATATCTTTATTAAAATTTTCTTAAGTGATACATATTAATATAAATTAAACAATGTTTCTTCGTCATCACTAAAAGCACTATTAACCGAGAGCGTTTTATTTTTGGCAAGTTAACGTTATCCTCTGAGCATTTTTCTGCATTATTTTCAGATCCATGCTTTACCTTTTGCAAAAAGTGTATGTAATTTTAGATTGCTTGCTTCTAGTTAAAAGATCTTTATAAATTTTCTTATATGGTGCTAAGCAATTATGGAATAAGGGAAAAACATTCGGCAACATCAGAAGCAGAAGCGTTGCGATCTGGCAACATTGAAACAAGTTTCGAGAAGGACCACGTGTATCGACAGAAGGCGAGAAGAGAAAATTTACATACTTAAGTACTAATAGTTCACGAAAATAATAATTTTCGTGAACTATTATTACTTAAGTATGTAAAAATTTATTACATTTCCTGTTGTACGAGGGTTTTACCCAATTCTCGAACCGTGTCAGAGTGAATCCGTGCTATAAAAGTACCGTGTTATACGGGGGATGGTACCAATTCTCGAACCGTGTTAGAGTGAATCCGTGCTATAGAAGTGCCGTGTTATACGGGGGTTACCTGTATATTTAATTGTTATGGTTAAATAATTTTATATGTTTTTGATATGTTACACTAGAAATTAGTTGCATGATGTAGAAAGAGATTCTTTTATTATTTATTCTGTGCAATAATGCACACAATAAATAATACAATAATCTGTTTTCGAATCTCACTTTGTTCCATTACTTTGTTTAAATAAACTGAATTTTAACCAAGACATATTTCACCTATAACTGGATGTAGGCACATTTATATTTACATTCTGTATAATTTCTTCATGTAACTTATCTATAGATCAGGAGTGTCCATCCTTTTTGTTTCTCTGAACAACATTGGAAGAAGTCATGGAGTTTTGGGCCACAAGTATATTATATATACTTGTATCCCAAGTATATTTTGGCACAATGCTTAAATATATATATTATAACATGTCTAGATTATAGTAATAAGTATTAAAACTTTATTACGAGAAAGGATATTTTAAAAGATTACTTCTACAAACACTTTCAATTTTTTAGGCACACAAGAAAACGGGTTGCACCAACCATAGAGATGCGAACTCTTTACCTACCGCATGGCGATCCTTTTACTTTCAATTTTTACTTACAAATAGATAAATTCATTTATTATAGAAGAGACAAACAAAAATTTATTTGGAAAACACAAATACTTGTTTTATTTGGCTCTCTAGTTAATAAAAAAAACGACGAAAAACACCATCTTAAAGTGCATTTTTATTCAACTAATATATTTATAAATAATATGTAGTCCATGCGACAAATGATATTTTTTACGCCAAAGTAATAAAAGGATAGCCAAATTTGGCGCAAAGTAGCAAAATCTTGCAACGCTGGAAAGAATAATAAATGGAGCTGGAGTTGGGACTCAAAGGATTATAGATCCAAAAGCTGGGAAAACTGCGAAAGTACGAAAGATAAAGAAGTGAGAAAAATTGGAAAATTAAGAGTCAATATTTGCATAATAGAAGATCTATTTAACAAATTCTCACTACATTTTATCTTTTGGCCGAATTTGAGTCTACTATACTCCTTTGAGTCACAAGTCCTTCCTCATTCTCACATTTCCAAGTATCTGAAAATATTTCCTTTAAAATATTTCCTTTCCACTCAAGAATAAAATATGTTTAAAGATTTGCGGTTTTGTTAGACTTTTTTTGAGTTTCTCTCGTTGAAATAAATAAATAAATAAAATAAAATAATTTGTCGGTTTTGTATACACGTTTATTGGGCCGGATGCTGCACGCGAGCTGCAGGTTGGACACCCATGCTATAGATGATTCTAATGCGAAATTATTAAACAAATAATTTGTTATTACTTTATTCTCCATTTTGAGACTGTTATTTTAATTAAACTAGTAGCAGACACACGTATTATTTTTATTGATTACTTCTAAATAATGTATTTTAATAATACAGTAGAGCGTCGATTATCCGAAAGTCAATCATCCGAAAGAATTCCAGTCAGCAAATTTAAATTTTCGCCAGTGCTGTGGCGCTGCAATCTTTGGCTATGTGTTAGGCTACTCAAATATTTTACGTTTTTGATACTAAATTAACTTCTGAAGTATAATTTTTTATTTGTTTTTATATTTTTCAATACAGTATATTTATTTTGTTCGTATAAAATAAAAAAATAATTTTTAACGATAAAATAGTCTTCGTTAGGCTTAACATCGACGAAAATTCAACGCGAAGCGACACGCAACGGAGAAAAATGTCAAGATGGGATAAATTAATATATTTTTTCGTGCACAATCGGTTATCCGAAACATTGATCTTTTAACAACCCCAGCTCCAATTGATTCGGATAATCGACGCTCTACCGTAATTGATTTTAGTTATATTCACATTGTTTTTAATTAGACCAGTAAGTTATATCTATCAACATAAAAGTTCTGAAATTAAATGGTATTTGCTAAAAAATTTTAAATCTTATATGGAGATATCCGAAAAAAAAATTTGATTTTATCAACTTATTTATAACAGTTCAATTATTAGTTCAAACTGTTCTTAAACTGTCGCGTGACGAAATGTATGAATATTTTACTTTTGTCAGATCGAATGCAATGAATCTAAAAAACTTAAACAAAATATGTTAAGTTATAAAAAGAAATCAAAACTACAATTATTTTCTAAATGTTTGCATTTTGTTTACTATACGACTATTTCCCTGTCTCTGTGCGCAATTCAAAAAAGTGCTACATTCACCAATACTCTGCTTACGAATTAGTACTGTGTTAGAACTGCCTGGTTGTTAATTTTTCGCGAAAACTCATACCCCTCGGCGATTTGTCATCAGAATCAACTTGGTGTAAAGAAACGTTACGGAATCGGTATATTTTCGGTTTTCTGCTGTAATTTTGCAGAATTTTATGTTTATAAATATGTTTATATTATTTACACGTAATTTTTCAATATAATTAACAAACGATTAATTAATTTGATTAGACGTCTTTTTTAATGTCCATTTTGGGAGAGATTCCTGTTTCTTCTGGTAAAGTGATAATAAAAGGAAAGATCGCTTATGCTTCTCAAGAGGCTTGGGTATTCAACGAAACTATCAGAGAAAATATCTTGTTTGGAGAAGAATATCAAGAAGAGAAATACAGAAAAGTTTTGAATATAACTGCTCTAGAAAAGGTAATACACGGTTTTTATCTATATCTTTATTATACGTAAAAAAATACCTACAGTATATCGATTATTTTATAATTTTACATGTAGGCCTATTTCAAGACAAAATGCAAATTTTTATATGTTTTTACGGTGGACAATGGTATAAGTAGTAACGTGTCAACCAGTCTGAGCACATATTCAAAGCACATTTAATGACACCTGTAATTAATAAACACATTTTAACGCTTACATAAATATCTGTTGAAGTTAAGTTTAGTGTGAAAACAGTTTTCAGAGCATATTATATTAAACATAATTAACTTTAATTTCATATTTACGAATTATAGGATATAAGTGTGTTTCCAAAAGGAGATCTAACTATTGTGGGGGAAAGAGGAGTGATAATGAGCGGTGGGCAGAAGGCAAGAATTAATCTAGCAAGGTAAATTAACTCTTACTCTACTTGTATGTTTTTCTTAGTTTAAGTATAGTGCTTTCAACGTAAATAAAAAAAACATATATACCCTAATTATTATGCCTTTGTGTCTTATATCTTAATTTAAAATTTATCTTGTATACTAGTACAATATCAATTAACAGAATTTATGATACTGGATTCATGGATGTTCAGGTAAATTAAATAAACAATATTACTTCTGATCCGTAAGAGTAGGTTTCTGCATCCATAAATCCAGTATAATAAATCTTGTTAATTAATATTGCACTAGTATACAAGATAAATTTTAAAACATATATACCCTAATCATAAATACATTTTAATCAAATATCCTTATTGCTTATATATTATATATATACACTGTATATTGCTTTAAAATGTAATCAGTATATAGTGAAAAGAATCATATCTGAAAAATTAACGTACTTAGTGAGATTTTCTGAATTTTTAAAATGTTTCAGTTGTACTTTACAGTAAGTATTTTAATTTGATAATTGTAAATATTTTAAAATTCAAAATAAAACATAATTATGTTTGAAAAGCAGAATCTTTTCTGTAGTATCAGATAATATGTTTTACATTTTTATTTGATAAATCAGTGGTAGAAAAATTATGTTATAATTGTGATACAGATATACTTAAACTTTAGTTATTGTTAAAATTATGTCATGTTACAGATATTTTTCTTCGTTTCCCCACTATCAGCAAATGAGAAGTCAGTCATTAATTAACTTTTGTTAATTAAATGAGAAACAAGTTGTCAAACAGTTTCATACAGGTATAAAATCAAAGCTAATAAAAAGAAAAAAAATAACTAACTACAGAGACCATACCATTAAATTTAATGCAGATTCTTATGATTGAGCAATATCTTTTGTTTCTTGAAGTGAAATTCATTTACCGTGATGTTTAATTTCATGTATTTTTAGAGCATTATATCTGGATGCCGATATATTCCTCCTTGATGATCCACTAAGTGCTGTTGATGTTCCAGTGGCAAAACATATCTTCGAAAAGTAAGTATTTAACAATTATTAATTGTATACTTGAATACATTTTTACGTTTTTATTCATTTCAGATGCATAATGGAATATTTAAATAACAAGATTTGCATTTTAGTTACACACCAAGTACAATTTTTAAACTCTGCAAGTAAAATTTTAGTGTTAAATAAGGTAAGTAATGTAAATAAATATTATGAGGGGCTGGCCGGGGTTACGGAGTTCGAAAAAATCGTGTACCGCTTACTCGGCTGCTGAACGTGACAATAGACTTGGGATTATCTGAAAAAGATGGTTTTTCTACGAAAAAAATAGTGTGTGAGGGGACTTACAGTTATGAAGTAAAATAAAGGCGGAGATAGATGATCGCGTAATCACCCTTCTCCTCGTCAGATTCCCGACACCAGTTAATCTTATTTTAACTCGCATTAACACGCGTAACCACGGAATTGCGAGTATGAAGAAGGCAAATATTTAACGTAGGCATAAGTGTGGATATCTATCATTAAACAGGCCATATTTATATAATAGGACTAAAATATTTAATAAAACAAAAGTGTCAAAGAATATAGAAATAAAATAAATCACAAATTATACTTAAACCTAAATCACGATTAACTAAAGTAAACCTAACGATCTTATCTTAAATCTAACGCGTGAGCGAGAGTTTACATCGATCTGAATCGTTTNACACGCGTAACCACGGAATTGCGAGTATGAAGAAGGCAAATATTTAACGTAGGCATAAGTGTGGATATCTATCATTAAACAGGCCATATTTATATAATAGGACTAAAATATTTAATAAAACAAAAGTGTCAAAGAATATAGAAATAAAATAAATCACAAATTATACTTAAACCTAAATCACGATTAACTAAAGTAAACCTAACGATCTTATCTTAAATCTAACGCGTGAGCGAGAGTTTACATCGATCTGAATCGTTTATACTACCTTCACAATTCTTTCTAATAATGTTCATGTATGGGAAGAGAGTTTTCTTAACTATGGAAAATCTTCATTTTTCTTCTGTGATATTTTTGTATGGATCACTTCATTGAATATGTATGGCAAACTGCACTATATTATATGATGGCAGGCCTCGAATTGCAGGCGATCGTGTGCGCGCCCGCCTCGAATGGCGGGAAAAATCCTTTTTTATAGCGGCCTCCTCAGACGGCCAAGTATCGTGTGCAAAGGCTCATCTCGTGAATCGGCCGCAGGAAAGGGAAATCAACTTTTTTTTTTAAATAAAAGTACTCTTGACATCAATTCTGTTGAAAATTCGTTGAAAAGTTAAAAAGTTACAAAAATTAATTTCTATTAATTTTAAATTGTTCTCTCTCATTTTGTTAATAAATTGACTTCCTCCTAATTCTAGATGAGATCTAGAATTAGGAGGAAGGTAATTCTAGATCTAGAGGGCTGTTCAAAAAGTATCGGACCTTTGGTCGGCAAAAATACATTTATTGATTTTGAGGTACATAACCCTAATCCCCTTCAAAGTAGACTCATTGGTAGTGTATATGTTACCGCTAAAGCTCGAAACTCGTTAATCTGCAGATTA